TAAAATCAAGCAATAGTCTAGCCTAACAAATTAAATCAATAAAACATCTGCCTTGAACATTGTGCTCTTGAAAACCCCGGCTACGGGGATCACTGTGGCTCCCCAAAGACTTAGATAGGAGCCGTGAAGGGCAGTGAGTTTATGGGAACAGGGGAGGGACAGCTCACAACAGGGGGATGAGAATGATGGGCCACTCAAACAATGTGCTCTGTGACTCTGAACTGTTCACGTAAGAATGGTCTTCTTGTGCGGAGTCTTTTGTGTTCTTGGGTGCGTTCCCAACAACAATGTCATAAAAGAGGAATGAGACATCATGTAGTTAATGTCATTGAACTGTGCATGAAGAAATTGCTGAAAGGATGTATCTTTTTGTCTAGTTTCACCAAAGTAAAAGAATAAGAGTAGCAATCGAAGTATAGAAGACCAGGCTGGGGCCCCTGCAATGTGCTCCTCACACGCCCTTCTCCCCTCTCGGTGCCTGCGAGTGCCATGCCATAGTAGACTACTCCACCTTCCTAGAAGAGAATGGCTCTTCGAGGGCGGAAACACTTGTTTTGCTCACTGAATCCCCAGCACACCACGCAGTGCTTGACCACATAAGTACAAGGATGAAGGGAGGGAGACCCTTAGGGGAGGCCTACACATAATCCATCCCTATGCCTACTGAGCACCTACTTTGAGATGAATGGAGTGAAATAGACCCCACCTTGAGGGTCTGTTTCACAAGGTCAAGTGTGGTCACTGCCTAATCAGAGTGGGTGCAATTTGAGTTTTCTCTTCTAGACAGCTTCTGGATCGATCTCCTGCAGCGGGGGACTATGTCAGGGAATCCTGAAGAATGTGGACATGCAGAGATGACCTGTGACATTTTCAGTGACGAGAGCACTTTGAGCAAAGGCCTAAGGCAGGAGATTTTGGGGTGAGTCTCACCGACTGCTCAGCTTGGCGTGTCATAAAGGACAGGACAGATGGAACATCTGTGCCACCTGCAACCATCCTTCCTAGAGGGGAGAAGGCGTGTGACAGAGCTTAAACCAAAAAGAGAAAATGGCAGAATCTCTCAGCCCCTTTCCTGGGCCATTGCAAGGAACCCTTCCTTCAATCTCTTTTTTTTCTATTTTCATATTCATGTCTTTTTTTATTTTCTCTCAGAGGGCTCAGAGCAGCTGACCACTATCCTCTGTCGAGAGTAATCTCCAGCTTTCCCAGCCATGTCCGAGCATCACGAAACCGTGGAACTGGCCAATGAGGAAGGAAAGGGCCAGGAGGAGCCGGCCATGGGTGCAGCCAAACACCTGAGCGCAGTCCATGCTCACCTGGCCAGGCCAAATGTCATACGGCTGCTTTGGGGAAGCTAATTATTACAATCAATCATTGCCAGTTGTCAGGATAGGATAGTAAACCACATATATATCTAAGACCTAGGTCAAGATGACAAGGAGACCCACAGCATTCCAGAAAGACAATTAAGTCAAGAACCAGTATGATCCATAAGAGATGGCGTGGATGATCTTGGCGCAGAACCCTCCAATTAGGGCATATTTGGAATCACTCCGAACAAAGAAGCCAGAACAAACCGTCGACCTACATTCACGTTGGCTCATTTTAGAGGCAGGGCAGTTAGGCAACACCGGGGCTGACCTGAGACCGACTTCAGCAAATGGCAGACAGTGTTTGGTGTGCCAAGTCCATTTCCAACATAAGAGATCATGTGATGCCTGAGGCTCCTGTGCTTTAGCGGACATCTGTAGTGAAAGCCACGAAGGACTTCTAATCCAAGACATACACCTGCTTTCCATTCTCGTCCACGCTCCTGTTCTGAGAGACGCTCTGACAGAGCAACACTAGCCACAAAGGCCTGGTTGGTCCACTTCCTGCCCTGAAGAGTGTCCCTCACCCTCAATGCCCCCACCCCCCACCCCCACACACTATCATTGGCCTGCTTTCTCCAGTTATTTCCTCCTCGGGGTTTATTTTGAACTTTTGTCTTCCTTTCCACGTCACTCAACAGTCCCTCTGAGAGGGCCCTCAGCAAGAACACAAAGCACCAGCTCTGAGGGGCCTGACCTGGGCCTAGCAGGTTCCTATTAGAACTTACCAATGCACCCTGCCAGAACCTGCCCAGGCCTTCACCCCCGCGTCCCTGTTGGGGGATTCTGTTATGTAGGGTGCCTTCACCGAGATCCAGTGGTTTCTGGGGAACCTACGCTTCATGATGGAAAGACAGGGTGCACCCTGCGGGGGCCCTCGTGTCAGAATGTGTGTATTGACCCTGCAGAGCTCATGCCTGCCTACACAGGACAGAGGGCAGAGGGGACAGGGGACAGGGATGCAGTGTCCGTCTCATTTGAATGGCTTTCCTGCCATTTGGTACCTATTCCCAAACTAAACTTAACGGCTCCCCAGCATACAAATGGTGTTCAGGAAACTGTGCTTCAGGTCTTCTCACCTGCCTATGAAATGCAAACACATTCTCTGTGATCTGCTATCATTGACATGGTCTTGACCTAGATCATCTGTCCAGGATTCTCCATCCCACTTCCCAGTGAATGCATCCCAATATTAAGACAGAGGACTGCTTACAAGGGGGCAGTGAGTGCAGATGGCATGGCTCAGGTATAGGAACGTGTCTTACCTACAATCTATAGCAACGCCATGTCTCATTCTACTTAAGACTGAGGCAGCCTCCCCCCACCTCTCTCCCGAGGGAAGGGGATTGTGGAAGACAGCTGCGTGAACCTTTGTAGGCACTAGTGGTCTTCTTTGGATCTAGTAGATTCTTAGGCATGCCATTCTAGCCTTTAAGGAAGGAGTCAAGGAATCTGTAACAAGCCACTCTGTGAATAGGGATGTGTTTAAACGAAGATATTTACACATCAAGACAATCTGCTTACACAAGTGATGGTTCGAACGCTGCAAAATTCATGAAATAAATGAAAGATATTATTTCCTTTTGCAAATAATTCAGTCGCAAGCTTCCTTTTTGAAACATGATTTCTTGGGCACCTTAAAAAAAGTGTACTGTGTCCATCTGGTTTACCAGATAATTTCAGAAACCGTCTGACAGAATGACTATCCGAGTTTGCTCGGAGGAATGGGGGTGACCCGTGGCCCCTCTGCAAGCCTCTGCCAGCTCCCCTCTGAGTGGCTATGATGCTCAAGTCCAAATGAAAACATGCCAGGGAAAGCATTTTGAAAACCATGGTGTGCTCACTGCCTACAAAATAATATAACTGTCAATGTTGTCTCTGCTGCTGGGATTTGATTCAGAACAATAGCGGGGAAGGGAAAGCAGTCAGTTCATAATTATTGAACTAGTGATGCAGATGGACTTGGGAAACCAGCACGCCTTTCCCTCTATTTTGTTTCTCTTCATTCTTTCTTTTTTTCCTAAAACCACTTGATCGGGAGCTAACAGTTATCGATCATCTCGTCCCTTAGTTGTCACATCAAGCAGTACTGTGCAATTACTACCACACTCAGTTTCAGAACATTCTTCTCTTGTTGGTCTCTCTACTTGTGTACACGTTCGAAATGATCTATTATGATAAACATTTTACATGTGTTGTATATAGGGAGCTATAGGTATTTATCATCTAATCAGAACCTCGTGTCTATATTATAACCCCTCTTCATTAACCGTAAGAGTAAAAATTTGTCCAGAGAAGTTAAGTGATTTCCTTGATGTTACACAGCTCCGGCTCTGGGTTCCTTCTCTGGCCACGCACCCTGACTGGGGCAGGAATGGGTTCGTCTGGCTACTGTCCCCAACACCCCACGTTTTTCAACCTTGCTGGTATACCTGGGCGCCTGCTGGGGTAGAGAGAGAGCATGGCAGATCTGAAACTAGGTGCCTCAGAGCTAGAGCCTGAATAAGGCTGCCCTGGGCACATTCCCAAAATGGCAGGGGACTGGGGGAGGAGGGGAGGTTTCTGCCGGCCTGCTCTGGCGCAGACACCTGGAGCCAGAGTGCTCAGAGAATCTGACCTTGGCCCCAGCGACTGGCTGGTTCAGCAAACCCCTACCCCAATCAAAACCACCTTCCCGCTGTTGAAATACTAGGACTCTGACCAGGAGGTTTAGAGGGTTGTCTGGCGTTCGGTCACTGGGGGATGATTGTTACCTCCCGGGGGACGTGGGTTTGGGGGGCGGGGGTGATCCTAGAGGTGGACCGACAAAGTGGAGTGAGTGTCTCCATATTTGCTTTCCACAGGAGCAGTTCTACCCTGTCCTATAGAGTCGCTAATGAATCGGAATCCACTCGTGGGTGGTGAGGTTTGAGTTATATTTGCGAATGGGGCAAACACAAGAAGAGGCGAAGGAGCCACTGCTAAGCCCACTAAACCGGGGCGCAAAGCAGAATCAGGGTCTCAGACCCCTGACCTCTGACCTCCGGGAAGTAGACTCTTCTGAGCCAAAGGTCGGGGAAGGCCAGGATCCTGGGAAGCTGAGCGCGCCGTGGGGGTGAATAAGCCACACTGGAGCTGTGGGTGTCCCAAACCCAATCCTGTGGCCAGCTGGCCGGGGCAGGCGAATGGAGAAGGGCCACAGGGTGGGTGCCAGAAAAGCTCAAGGGCCCTTGACATTGGGAGGTCCTGTCACCGTGGGAGAGCTGCGCCCACTCCAGCGAGCGACCTGGAATCCTGAGACCGCCCTCCTCGCCGGGCTTGGGTTCCAGATCCCCCGGGTTCCAGATCGCCCCCACCCTGCTTCTCCAGGGCCCTCCGCTCCCCCCCTCCCCTGCCTGCACCTCCCGGGGATCTGGGCGGCGGGGCAGGGGTGTGCAACTCCCACAAGTCTCTACTTTCTCCCACCAGATGCCCAAAGGTATGAACACCCCCCGCCTGCCCCCAGCGCTGACTAGACGCCCCCAGGACTAGGAGCGGCGGCTCCCTAGTGCCCTGGCGCCCCCGCGTAAATGCAGCTGGAGGGGGGGGGCGGAGGCAGGAGCTTGTCCCGCGCCCCCCAGACTCCCTGCCCCAGACCCCCGGCAGGCTCACCATCGCGACTGCTTTCCTCGCGCGCTCGCCTCGCAGCTGGGTCTGCCCGCCCCAACCGCTCCAGACCCGGCCGCCAGCGCTGTTATGACGCACCGGGCGGGCGGGGGTGGCCGGGACGCACGTGCTGGCCGCAGCTGGCCCGGAGCATCACAGTGCCCGGGGAGGGGAGGGACGCGATAGGTCACAATTGCTCTCCCCGCCCACTGGTGGCTGGGCCGGCCGGGGATCCCGGGGCCACTGGCGGGGTGGCGCTGCGCGCTCGGGCTCCGGCTCCGCCCGCGGCCGTCTCTCTGTTCCACGTGCACTCGGAGGCCGCCCGGACCACGCAGCCACCCAGCAAAGAAATGGAAAGTGCGGACGGGCAAAAGCTCCTCTTCTCCCCCAATTTTCCATTCTGTTCTCACCGCCAAACCAAGCCCTCGGAGGTGCAGGCGGGAAGGCACGTATTTGGTCGAGGTTTAGTGGACTGGACCCCTGGCCCACGGGGAGGGCAGAAGTCAGGGTTCCTGCATGGCCCGCTGGTGGGAAGTGCAGGGGAGTCCCAGATTTGCTGGAACGCTGCTCTCGAAGTCTCTCTCTCCCTCCACTGAGGCTTGCTTGGTCATTGGAGAATTCAATAAGGCGCCTGGTACACAGCGGGTGTCCAATGGGCATTGAATACAGCTTGGTCCCTGTTTCCATTACCCAGGAATTCGATATTGCTTTCTATTGTTCTTGGTAGGGGCAGTTCTATTGGTTTCCACTTGACTTTTCCGGCCACAATAGCCCTTACTCCACTTACCAGAAACCCAAAATGGGGGTCCTGCCACTTGCTGCGTGGATCCCGATTACACATCTGGAACTATCACTACAGGACAGGGTGGGTTTGGGCACCCCACAGGACCCACTGGTGTGAGTTGAAAGTAGGACTACAGCCATGCTAATTTTAATCAAATTCTGTTATATAGTTATGTTATTGTGACCATTTCCCAAGGTTCAAACAAGAGTTTGGAATGTTAATTACTATCTGAATCCTGCTTGGAGTTGAATTGGCCCCTCTAGCTTTCTTGGTCCTGGTATAAGACTGATCAGGAGCAGTCAATTGGAAAATAGACATCAAAATCATGAATCACAGAATTCTGTTTCGTTTTTTCTGTTTATTTGTTTTTAATGTACTCACTGTGTTTCCTGTACTTGATATGTTTTTACGGCCTTGGTTAGCCTGTCTTGGGCATTGTAGCCCACCAGCATATACCAAAGACCAACCCAAAGTCACTGCCATGGAGTCAATGCTGACTCGCAGTGACCCTGTAGGACAGGGTAGAACTGGCCCCTGTGGGTTTTGAAGACTGTGAATCTTCATAGCAATAGAAAAACTCATCAATCTCCTGCAGAGCAGCTGGGGGTTTTGAACCGCGGACCTTGCAGTTAGTAGCCAAACACACAAACCACAGATCAAGTAAATGTTTAGTAGATTTCCCATCTATTTCACTCCTAGGGACACCATGACTTTGAAGTCAATGTCCTGAGTCTATCGGAGTCACACTACTGCAATTATTGCAATGGTAATCATGCGCATCTGTCTTTATCAATTAAGTGCTGCCACGTGGCCCCTACACCACAGGGTCCAATCAACCCCATAGTAGTTAGGTGTCTTAACTCACAGCAGTCAAATCTGACTTACATAAAATACCAATCACAACAGTCTTCAAGGATGCTAGGGCTCCCCTCACTCATTTGTTACTCATTGGTGTTACTCAACTGTCAGTCCTGGTGGCATCCTGGGCTGTGCATTGAATTGCTAATCTCACGGTCAGGAGTTCAAACCCCATCAGTCACTCCATGGGAGCAAGTTGACCTCAGCAACATCCCAGGTGCTTTCTCAGACAAACACTCTCCAGGCACAGCTAGATCCATCTCATCGAAGAGGGGTTGAGGGATCATGATTTTCCTGAGTGTCTCGGAGGACAAACATGGAGTCATATCTTTAGACGAGAAGAGTGGTACTAAAAAAAGGGGATCCCCCCTCCCTTTTTCAGCACCTAGAGAGGTGCTAGTGGTAGGACTGGTTCAATAGAATTTGTCAGGACCCATGCCCTAGTCTTCCTGATTGCCTGCCCATATGTCCCCATCCCAAGTTTCAGGATCCCATTTCTTCCCAATCAATGCCCTCCCCTTTAATTTCAGACACCATGCGAGGGTGGGGATTCAGCTGGCTTGTTATTCAGTTGCTCCTACAAGGGGTTTGGTTTTGGGCAATGTTGGGTTTGATACTAGAAAAGATAAAGCGTTCTTTCAGTACAGAAGCAGCAACTCTCCTGTCTCTTGTGTGTACAAGCGTCACACTGGTACTGTGACTCTGAAGCCCTGAGCTCATCGCTTGCTCCCACGACTTCGTCTAGCAAAAGTAAGACCAATCAGCGTTCTATACATCTTGTTCTATAGAAAAGTACCCGGTATGCAGTCACCGGGAGCTTTGTTTCTCACCAACACTTGAGTCATTGGTAGTGATGTTTGGCTAATTTCTATCGTCACTTCAGGAGTCCTGGTGGTATAGTGGTTACCTGTTGGGCTGTGATCTGCAGGAATAGCAGTTCAAAACCACCAGCCACTCCACAGGAGGAAGATGAGGCTTCCTATTCTCTTTAAGAGTTACAGTCTCAGAAACCTACAAGGGCAGTTCTACCATATCCCACAGGGACGCTGTGAGTCAGCATCAACTCAATGGCAGTGAGTTACAACACTTCACATGATAGATCAGTAGTGCCCTTTTTACTACTCACGATACAGTCATCAGTGCCTTGGTGCAGTGGGTTATGAAGTGTACTGCTAGCCACAAGGTCAGTGGTGTCACCCAGCAGATACTTTGTGGGAGAAAGAGGCGACTGTAAGCTCCAATAAGATTTAAAGTCTCAGAAACCCTAAAGGGCAGTTCTGCTTTGTCCTGTAGGGTTGCTATGAGTCAGCATTGCCTTGATGGCAGTGGGTTTCGGTTTGTTGTTATTAAGCTTGAAAACCAATTTTAAAAACACATCCTTACAAATTCGTTTTTCTAGAACCCTTCTTTGTAACAAATGCCGTTGGCTAGGTTCTCTAGAGAAGCAAAATCAGATATAAGTGGAGGAAGAGAGACATAATTATCTCAAGGAAATAGCTTATTTGTAGAGGCTGCCCAAGTCCTGAGTCTGTAGGTCAGACGTGAGTCAGAAGGATTCTCCAGACGTACACAGCTGCATGGGGCTGATGAGTCCACGATCAGCAGGTTGGATGACAGGCTGCTGAAGTCAATGGATCCCAAGAACCAGAGATCAAATGATGATAAGATGGATACAGGATCCAAATCAAGTGAGTGAGCTTTGCCAGACATCCGCATATAAAGGGGCTTCAAAGAGCTCATGGAAAAAATCCATTATCTTTCATTCCATTTTCCCACACACTGTCTGAAGCCACTTCATATATCCTATTGGACAGAGGCCACGGCCCTAAGGAAAGTGCCCTTAAATGATCAGATCAGACCAATTACATAACTGCCAAATCACTGAGTGTCATGGCCCAGCCAATTTGGCACAACCTAAGCCACCACAGAGCCCATCCAGCTGTACCATGGAAGAAAGATCTGGCTATCTGCTTCCATAAAGATAAGAAAACCCCATGGAGCAGTCTACTGTGTGAAACAGGAACACCAGGAGTCCAAATTAACTAGATGACAAGTCTGATCGATTTTTGCTTTTGATGTTGTTTTCCCTTGATCCAGTTATCAAGAGACCATCAAAGCAAGAATGAATGAGTGGAGGTGGGGACCAATTTGTAGCCACAAAATCCAGCGGCTCCTTTTCTTCGGCAAGTCTCTTTTTAAAGCCCACCTTGAAGGGTCTGAGTTGTTTCTATTTCAACTGAGGGAAGCGCTGACTCTTCCCTGGCTCCCACTCCTGCCAGCTGGCTGCTATCAGAAACTGCACATTTGTTAGAATAGAAGCAAAACACAGAACAAAATTTAAATTCCTAAGTAAAAAGATCAGACTTACTGGCCTAATAGACACAGAAGAACCCCCTGAAACGTTCTCACCCCAAGTTTCCCTTTGAACTGGGTACTGAAGCTGTTCCTGGAAGCCGTCTTCCAGTCAAATGATAGATTGGTTTATAAAGTTGGTAATATCGTCCACAGTCAATGTGCTCCCCACACAGCCAACTGTATGAGACCAACCCGTCAACAGTTACCCAAAAGCAAAGATGAGAAGGCAAAGAAGTGAAGGGAAGTTAGAACAGAAACCAAACAGAATGGAAATTATGAGAATGCCAACACATTGTGAAAATTGTAACCAAGACCATGGAACAATTTGTATAAAATTGTTCACTGGGAACCCAATTTGCTGGGTAAACATTGACCTCAAACACAACAAAATATATTTTTTCAATAAAAAAGAGAGTGCACATTTTAAGAGCATCCTCGTATGAGCATGACTGCAACCATTTTGAGCCTACCTTATGTAAGTATTTAATTTTGTTTTGTGTTTCCTACATCTTACTGTTGTTTTTCAAATGTGTGCTTTAACTGTTTCCTGAGGGTTGAATCAAGCATTTGGAATGATAATATCCACTTAGATCTGACCCTCCAGTTTTCCTGGTTATTATCTAAGGTTTTATAAAAGGTAGTCATCTGGAAAGTAGAGTCGGGATAATGAATTACAGAGTTCTTTTTGTGTGTTTACTATGCTTTATGGCTCTCGTGGGCTGTCGTGCATCCTAAGAATTATTGCCCACCTGCATGTAGTCTACGGGATGGGTATTGTTAGGAAATTAGTATACATGGTGTTTAGGCTCTGGGTGCTAGGCAGCCTGTCTCAGTTAAATGCACTATTAGGACAAAGTAGCTGCTCTTTTCTTCTGAGAAGCAGTTGGTGAGTTTGAAGCACAGACCTTTGCGCTACCTGCTAGCATGGCCACCGGGGCTCCTTTTCAGCGCCACAAAAAACCAAACATCTAATTGTCACCCCACCAAGCATGAAACGCACAGGGACAAAATACTAATGAGTAAGTTAAGAGTGGGGAGTAGGAGCCCAGAAATTTCCAGAGCAATGGCTATCACACGCAGGGCAAGAACCCACAGGCTCAGGGAGACTGGGGATGACAGGCTGGCTCCAGCAGGGCAACAAAGCAAGTTTATTTTCCCTGCCTCGTGGCAGTGGCCTAGGGGAGGTGAGCAAAACTGGCAGGTAACATTTTGGAAGGTTTCAAACACCCAGCATGGTTTTCTTTCAGAGAAAACAACCCATTCCTTGGGACTTGGCTGAGGCAGCTGGTGACCAAGAGCTCAGCTTATCCGTGTGAGTCATCGGATGGCGCCCACAGCTTATATTTATAGCTACACTGAAGGATGTCCGCCACGCTGTCTTTGTCATCGCTGGTACATTTGAGAAGAAACAGCCCTGCTCTTTTTCCCTGCAGCAAACCAAGCAACGCTAAGACTAACTAAAAAACTCACTGTCATGGAGTCAATCCTGACTCAAAGGGACGCCCTACCTATGAGTTTCCAACACTGTGATTGTTTATGGGTGTAGAAAG